TGAATTATATTGTACTTCATTATATAAATATCTCAATCTCTAAGAATATCAGTAACTTTAAGCAATCAGTGTCATCTTCTACCTAGATATACACACACATATCTACATATAGACTCATAATTTGGGTGAAGAATCTCCAGCCATGTTGGGGCAGTTTTAAGTAGTGTTTGAGAGAGAGAATCATAGTGGTTTCGCATAATCCAAGGGACCTATGTGTAGGTCTTTGGATGAATTTAGGGGCCTTTGTTGTAATGTTGTTTGCTTGTCATTCTCTATGTCTTAATTTAATCCAAGAAAGAATCTCAAAATCTTTTGGTATTACTTTTTAAATATATTCTTACTAGTTATTGTCAATGCCTAAAGGCACGGAGTAATAAAAAAAATAATCAACAATAAACATATTTGTATTTACATTCAAAATCAAGTCACAAATATAGAGGAGAAAAAAAAAATTTAAGCACCGATTATAATAGGAGTGAGCGATGGTGGGGGCGACAATGATGGTGGTTGGAGACGGTGAAAGTTGTGGTGGGTGGTGACGACCGTGGTGGTGGTGATAGCTGTTAGTGGCAACGGTGATGGTGATGGTGGGATTTAGATGACGATGGTGGTAGTGACAGTCATGAGTGACGACGGTGGCAGTGGTGAGTAACAGTGATGGTGGTTGGTAATAGTGGTGATAGGGTGACAAATGTGTTGGTGGCAGTGGTGGGTTGTGGTGGTGAGTAATGTTGGATGCTTCTAGGCGACGGTGTGATGGGTGGTGGTGAATGGTTGGGGGGGTGGTAGTGGTGGTCGGTCTGGTGGGGGTGGGTGATAGTGGTGGACGATGATAGGTGGTGATGGTGGTAAGTGTAGTGGGGTAGGTGATAGTTGGTGGTGGCAATGGTGAGCAATGACGGATGGTGATGGTTGATGGTGGTAGGTGTGATGGAGGTGGGTGGTGATAGTGAGGTGGTTTCAAACGCTACTTTTTTTTTAAAATACTTATGAAAAATTGTAAGTTCTAGAAGCACTTTTAAAAAATCACATCAAATACACCCTTCTATTTTTTCTATGAAAAATGGATATGTGTTTCAATTATGGTATATTTGGAAATTTGTATTTGGATATGGGAACTTTCCTTACAAAATGCCCCATGAGCAGCCTTTGTCGCTTTCAACAATTTGGTGAAAGCTTTGAACAATTTTTATTGGTTGTATAAGGTTGATTTTTTGGTGCATTGGTTGTACAAAGTTGCGGTTCATTATGCCCATGTTTTGTGTAATGCAATTTGTAATGATGCAATTTATTTTTAATTATGGAAACATAACAAGTTAAGATCAACTATTTTTATCATCATTAGCGTATTGTATTTGCCAACAGTTGATTGAACGCCAAAATATTGTTTATTATATTTTATGGTTGTGTTGGTAAGTTAATTAAATAGATTAAAGTATATTATTTTATGTAAAAATATCATGATGTGAATTGTAGATGTTTGTAGGTTAAGTGAGAATTCCTGAAAAAAGATTGGATTGGATTGGATATGTCAAGGGGTAGAATGGTAAACATCTACAAAAGCAAAGATCAAAGTTATTGAAGCCCAGGTAATTGAATTGTTCCTTGCCAAACAATGGTTTGGATTGGATACCAAACATAAACCATCCAATTAAGTGGTTGAGTGGGTTTGGGTGGGATGAGTTAGGATACAAAAATTCCAATTGTTTCCTATAAAAACACTTAAACGACAAACATTGCTGCTGCAAAAATAACAATGAGAAACATGCATTCACAACCTACACAATTCAGTTGTTTCTCATCTGTGCTCATTCCACATCTACGACAAGAAGTCACTATGTTCCACTTATCTTGCCATACACGTACAGTAAACCTCGGAAATGAAGATCATTTGCAGTCTTCTATGTTTACAATCTGCCAAAACCGGATAAATATGTTTTTGGACAACGATGACATAGCTATAATACAAACCTGATTTAATCTGGGACGGAATATGAAGATTCCTCCTAGGCCCTGAGAAAAGGAAGGGGAACCATTATTTGTAACTTCCAGCAATGGTAATGACAAACTAAATTGCTTTGAATTGTAAATGAATTTGTATCCAGATATCAAATAAAACAGTAACAAAAATTTATGAGCTTAGACTATAGACAACATTGCATGGTTCAAAAGATGCCAGATGATAAATTGTCGAATATTCCCCCTAGTTGTCAAATAACGTTTAACCAATCCTACCTGTGCAATGTAACATGAATTCAATATAATCTAACTTCCTAGAAATTCAGTGCTGCAAAGCCCTCTACAGAATGTTCCTCTTACACGGAAGTATCAAAATTTCGTTTTGTTGCATTGTTTTGATAGATAATGGAAACATTTTGAAAACGGATAAAAAAAACTGAATATGTGATCGAAACATTCATCAAAACAAATTCGATATTAAGTTACTAATTCGTTTCAATTTCTATGGAAACGGGAACGTTTCGACTCTTTCGAAATAAAATTTAGATCCTTTCACATATACAATCTTTGTACTCCACAACTGGTCAAATGGAGCCAACATAAACAATTATTTCTGTACTAAATCCTATTCAAGATAAGTAATTTAATTTTCTCAAATGAACAACGTGAAGGGAGCATTTGTTTAATCTTTCCCTGCAAGTAAAATCACTATAAAATTCCAGGAGGCCCAGTCTATGTCACACACATCTACAGTGGGCCTATAACCACCTATACTTGATCTAATTGTTCCATCCATCTAAGTATGTTCCCATTAATCGAGGGTGCTCAGAAGGCGAACTAGGTGGAAACTTAACACGTGACATCACCTTACGCCTCACATATCTTAAAAAATACAGAAGATATCACCATTCACATAACTCCACCGAGATAAATTCAAGGACTTGGTTAGTGTGACACTAAATAGAGATGCAACGACAGCCAACTTATACAAATTTTAAGGGGATATTGAGGTGTACAATCTTTAGATATGTGAAGGAATTTTACACTGAGGAGGTGGAATTGGGGGATATCTTTTTCAGCCATTTATATGAGTTTGGATTTTGGTTCAAGGTCGCAGTATTGGCCGTCAACTCAGAGGGCACTGATACATATCAGTCACGGCGTCGCAGCACAGTATCCGCCGATATGCAAAAAGTGTTAGATAAAAAGCCCAAAAAATTTTAAAAATCTTAATAAATATAAACAACTACATCTATGCATCACATCACATGTCCAAAGTGCATCATTTAACACATTAAGCATAGTGAAAATCAAATATCAAGATATTACCGAAAATATTTATCAACAATAGTTCCATGTAAGTATCTAAATATAAATCTAATGTACTATCAGCATTTAATTTGAATATATACAAAAAAAAAGATTTTAAAAGAATATTTTGATCTAAAAGATTATTCCAATTTAACAGGACTTATTAAAAAGTATAGTTGTATATCAGTTAAGCAGAGTTTTATTGGAAGACATAAAATGTAGAGTTCTATTGTATTTAAAAGACTCGATCTAGAATAGTGGTCTTATACAGTCAAACAATTATTTTAGGTATATATAATAATGGGTCTTACTCGGTGTAAGCAACACTGTCGTTGAGAGAGAGAGAGAGAGAGAGAGAGGGGAGAATTGTGATGAGAGTGAGAAAACTCTCGATCAGCTTGGAGTTTGTCGCTGCTGGGAAGAAGAGATGGACCTCTGTTGCTTGTTGCCGAGGAGGGGTTCCTAATTTAGGGTTTAAAATTTGTTGAGTTGCATCTTGTCGATGCTTTCTATAGAGATAGGTTGCTTTATTTTATCTCAATCCCTTTTAAATTTGTTTTATACATCTACAGATTGAACTGATTGGCTCTCTGCATGTGGGTCTTCTCCTTTTTCTTTTCCCCTTTTCTTTTTCTTTGCCTTTTTGTTGCTTGTCTGTCAGTTGAGATTGACTCTAGTCAAATCAAGGTCAACTCAGTTCAACTCGTTTAGAGTCAAACGATTTGCCTTCAAGTTGCGTCGATATATCCAAGTCATGGCAGAGTCAACACCAATTTAGAAGCATCTCGTGATATTTTTGTAACATGCAGAGATATCGGATCGGAAGTGGCCGAGGCGTATACAACTCGGTCGAGTCGTATCGGATTCTGCTGATACTTTGAACCGTGGTTTGGATGGAATGATTTTCACAATGGAAAGGGGAAAACGAGTATTCTCAGTACATCTAATTATGATCTACTTAGCATGATGGTGGCTTTCTTTGTGTGGAGGCAGCCTTGGAATCTCCCTTTTGGTCATTAATAATTGTTGGCATAGGAGGAAAAACATTTTTCATTGGTGCTGCATATGCAAAAGCTCGGAGGAAAGAGTTGTCACCCTTTTTATCATTGCAAGGTGGTATTGTGCTCAAGTAGTATTCTCTGTTAGGCTTGGTGTGGGTGATGCCAAGGTCAGTGAGGCAAATGTTGTGTATGTGGAAAGGAATTCAGGTTCTGTGGAAGCTTCAGATACTGTGGGATATAGCTTCTCTGTCTCATATGGGACTATTTGGACAAACAGGAACATGATCATGAAGGAATTGAGATACCCCTGCACAAGTTTACACGTGATGTTGAGTAGATTATCTTTGGGCTAAAAGGGATATATCTGGGATGTAATGATGTTGTTGATTTATCGAGTAATTTCCAAGATGGGAACTTAAGTGTACATATTTTTGGGCTCCCCTTTGTACATGGGTGCACCCCTCTTTTCAGTGCTTGCTAATGAAATTTACCTACCTATCAAAAGAGGAGAAATTCTTTTTTTTTTTTTTGAGGGGGGGAGGAAATTCAACAATATATATTGAGGGAAGTGCTTTGAGATCTAGTATACTAAATAGGCCCAAGTTGTTTGACTTCTAGAACACCTGACCAAAAGAGTTAGATCTCTATATGGACACAAGACCCATAAACCAAACATGACCCGACAAAGAAAGCTAATCATCCCCAACATTTACAACAGCCCAAAGAAAGCTAGCAAGCATGTTGTGTGAACAGTCGACGGTTGTGGGGTTGGCTTGTTGAACGTTGCAACATCGTACCACTGAGGGGCCAAAGTGGTGCAATCTTCTCTGCTATCTGGGTGGCCTCTGTAGCTAGCTTCTTGCTTGCCTCTCCCTTTTCTCTACTCTCTTCAGGTTCCTTCACATCCACTGTGACAACAAATTTGATATTTTTTCCTTTATTATTTTTGATTATCATTTTGCACATGGCACTGGTTATTGATCTCTGGTTGCTTTGGGGATCTATTAAAATTCATTAGTGTATGACCAAACAATTATTGCACATTTAGGTTTCCATGGATATTCTACAGATATCTCAAAAGTTTTAGTTTCACCATCATTTTCCTCTCTTATGTCAAGATCAAAGGATTCAACCAGTCCTTGTTCAGTATCCAACTCAATGCATACACGAACAAAGCTTGTCCTTTTCTTCATATCAGTTTGTCTGTCTGCGTAGAAGGGTCTTCCCACTACACTGGCCACATAACTTGGTCCTTCCTCTGTCCAATACTCCAAAGGGATATTGTAAAAGTTAACCCACACAAGAATCTTGGAATGGACTTCCTTTGTGAGTTCCATGTTTGGATACCACTTCTTGAGAGGTCTTCCAGAAAGCATCCAAGGCCCCATCTCAACCACCTTGAGCACTATTCTTCATTGGAGGATCTGAAGAAATAAAAGCCCTTATCATTGGCTAATACCTCCATGAGCCCCATTTGACCGCATATCTTGTGAACTATGGCATTGACCACAGAATAAGGCAGTTTTTTCTCTACAAAATAGCTAACCAAGCAATGTTCCCAGTTGCTATAACCCTTTTGAGCTACTTCGTTTGGAGGAGATACAAATATTTCGTCTCCATCTTTAGCTGGTTTGCAGTATTTCAATTTCACGTGGCTTCTGGAAATTTCATGTTCCTTTGAGGATGGGTTAGCCTGATTGCCAGGTTGGACTATTTGTCTCCATTTTGGCTTTTGGGTTGGCCATTTCCTTCCATCAGCTTTTCCCTCATTTTGGGCAGAAGGCAAAAAAGCACCTGTCTTATCAACAGGAAAAGAACCTGCCACCCCCCTAAAGGAATCTGTCAGCTTCCTAAGGGAATGGAGTACGACTGTTTTACCTTTGTTATTTTGGGATGGGGCATTTTCAGAATTCAAACTTGAGGTAGAGATCACGTGAGCTGCACCCTCCTTCATCCCAGCTACCAGCCCACTGACCTCCATGGGAGTAGACAGGAATTGTTGCTGCGAGAGTTGTAGTGTTTTGATGCTTGGGGGATGAGCCTTTCATAGCCATAGAACTGGAAGAATCTTTTGCATGGGCTTTACTCTTCTTTCCCTTATCATTAAGACCAATCTCCAATTCAGAAATTGGAATGCCACACTGGAATCCATGAATCATGCAGGGAGCTTGGTAGTATAAGGATAACAAATATGGAAAAGAGGCAAGAAGGATAAAGTTAAAAAAAAAAATTTTGAAGGGGGGCGGGGGGAAAGAGGATGATAGGAAGCAATTTTGAGGTGATGATGATGAAGGCAAATCAGAATAGGAGCTAGAAAGGTGACAAGTACTGGAGGAATAAGATAATGAAACTAATTGATCAAGTGAAACACTAAGTTTGATGGTCAAGAAAGAGATCATTCGTTCAGTATGGTAGTGGGTTCAGGTTGGAGATGGAGAGGAGAGGAGAGGAGGAGAGAAAGGCAACATCATTTCTTTCAAATCTAAACTTTTTAACTATTTACGTTGTTAAAAAGTTGTTTTCCTATTATGTTCTACTTTCCTAATATTGCAATGGTCTTTAATATCAATCTTATATAAATAGGTGACTGGGTGTTGACAACACACCCTACTCAAAATATTGTTCCATAATCTCTCTTTTTCTCGCTTCTCCTAGAATACCTGGTCCGCCATTGTCAGAATCTGATTCTGACATGATAATGAGTTGAATTATTATGGCATTAGGGTTTTAGAAAATAAAAGGAAGAAGAGAGAAAGAGATTAGGAAAAGTGTATATTGTATTAGGTTAAAGCAACAACAACATATATATAGTCGCATACCGCAAAAAACTAAACTACTCTTATTCTAGTATTAATGCAAACATAACACTCCCCTTCAAGTTGGTGCATAGATATCTTTCATGCCCAAATTACAAACAAAAGGGTGAAAACCTTGCTACTAAGCCCCTCAGTGAAGACATCATCCAACTGATTCTCTGATTTCACAAAAAAACATGTAAATCAAACCTTGTTTAATTTCTCCTCAATAAAGTGTCGGTCAGTTTTAACAAGTTTAGTTTTATCATGTTCAATTGGATTATGGGTCATGTTGATAGCAGCCTTGTTGTCATAGTATAACTTCATAGGTCCATCATCAGAAAACCCCAATGCTCTCAGTATTGTTCAAAGCCACAAAAACTCACAAACCCCATGGGTCATAGCTCTATATTCAACCCCCACACTAAACCTGGCAACCACTTCTTGCTTTACCATGTAACCAGATTACCTCCAATCAAGATACAGTAGTTTGAAGTTGATCTTCTATCATCCACGCATCACTAAATGCTTCCAGTTTTAAATGACCATTATTAGATAGCAAGATCCATTTTCTTGGAGTTGATTTAAGGTATCTCAAAATGCAATAAACAACTTTAAGATGAGAAGCTCGAGGATCATGAATGAATTGATTGACAACGCTCATTGCATAAGCAATATCTAGTCGGGTATATGACAAATAGATTAATCTCCCCACTAGTCTGTAGTATCTCTCCTTTTCTACTACCTCATCAACACCACCACTCAGTCGATGGTCGACTTTAATAGGGGAATTTGTAGGTCTACATTCCAACATCCTCAGTTCTTCTAGAAGATCAATGACATACTTTTTCTTGAAGATAAAAATCCCTTTATCCAACCTGGCAACCTCAATCGCAAGTAAGTATCTCAATAGACTCAAATCTTTGATTTCAAACTTCTTAGCCAACTAAACATTCAATTTGGTGGTTTCATTCTCATCATTCCAATTATCACTATGTCATCCACATGTACAATGAGGACGGTGATCTTATCATCAATCTGTTTGATGAACATGGTATGCTCAGTCTAACTCTGTTTACATCCAAACTTCAACATAGCCTTAAGGAACCTATCAAACTAGGCCCAAGGGAATTACTTCAATCCAGAACGAAAGTTCTTCAATTTATACACCTTCCTTTTAGTTATTTAAGATTAAAAACCCAGAGGAACCATGTACACATTCTCCTCCAAATCTCCGTGAAGAAAGACATTCTTCACATCTAATTGCTACAAAGTTCATCACAAACTAGCTGCACAGAAGATAATTGCATGTATGGAGTATATCCATTTTTTTTTTTTGGGTAAGTATGGAGTTCATTGTTGCCACAATAACAAAAGTCTCTTGATAATCAATACCATATTTCTGTGTAAATCCATTAGTAACCAACCTAGCTTTGTACCTCTCGATAGTCCCATCAACTTGTTGTTTCACAGCAAACACCCATATGCACCCTACAGTCACTGCTCCTAGAGAATAGAAATAAGCTCCCATGTGTCTTTCTTTTTCAAGACTTGTATTTCCTCCATCATAGCTTCTCTCCACTTAGAATTAGCAAGAGCCTTTTTCCAACTCCGAGGTATAGATATAGAAAATAAGGAATAAACAAATGCACGACTGGATAAAGACAAAGAAAAATAAGAAAGTAAAAGGTAGGATGTTGAGTGCCAAGTACGAACATCCATTCTAACTGTAATGGGAAGCTCAGAGTCATCAACAACTGGATGAACCAAAACAAGAGTAACATTTAGAGATTCATTACCTGATAAATCGATGAAAGATGAAACTGAAGTAGTGGAAGTCAACTGGTTCAGTGGCACGTGGGTAATCTGTACCTTTTGACGCCAAGCATAAGTCTTTAGATTATCCTTTTGAAGATGTTCGCCATATGAATCACTTATATCACCTTTTTTCTCCACAAGGTGTTGTTCTCCCTCACTAACATCCCACTGAATAAGCAATTGAAGAAGGTGCTCCAGACAAAACATCTCTTCATTTGTAATGGCATTCTCTCCCAAAATAGATTTTTGGGTAGTAGAGAAGAATGGCTCAAATTCCCGAAATGTGAGATCCATGCTAACATACATCTAAGACTATGGATGATAGCATTTACAATCCTTTTGGCCGATAGAATAACCAAAAAAGACACTGCAAAGACCAAGAATCAAGTTTCTCCCTGTATAGTTTGTAATCATGTACATAATGCGCACACCCAAAAACATTAGGAAGGATAGAAATAGAAGGGATAGAAAAGACTTAGAAAGTCACTCAATTGGTAACTTAAACCAAAAGACACTCAAGGTCAAATGATTAATAAGAGTAGTAGTAGTGGAATCTCCTCCCCCTAATCTTAACATTCATACTGAACAACAATAAACAAGCAACCTCAAGAAGATGATGATTAAATGTAATTGTAGTGGGGTAATAAATATAATTGTAGTGGGCATTAAATATAATTACAGTGGGTATTAACTATTAAATGTAATTCCAGTGGGTTATTAAATGTAATTGCAGTGGGTATTAAATATAATTACAAGGGGTATTAAATATAATTATTCATACTTAAGACAAAAAAATATATATATAAAAGGCAAAAAATGCATAGTAGACCACGACGACTCAGAGTCTCAGACAGAAAGACGCAGAGAGGCAAGAGGCGATAGGAGAGGAGGCGATGGGTGATGTCGGTGCCCCAGAGAGAGAGAGACAGAAAAACAAACCGGTGGTCGCACCTCGTGGTTGCAGCGATGAAGACACTCCCAGGCCCTAGATCTGCGTTGGATCGCCTCAAATCTGGACTCAATGAGGTAAGTTACTGAAGCCTTCTCCTTCAATTTTTGGTCTATAGTCTTTGTCTCTTCGATTTCGTCTGGTGTTTTTTCTCTCTCTTCTCTACTTTTTTTTTTTTGCTTGGAAGACCTGAACTTAGACGGCTTGGCATGTGATTTCTGAGCTTGGAGGTCCTGTGTTCTGACATTTTGCGTGTGGAATCTTTACCTTTCTCAGAGTTCCTTTTTTTTCTTTGGCCTGGAGTGAAGCGAATCTTTAGCTTTTTTTTTTCTTTCTAATCATTGTTTCGTCGAAACTGTTTCGATCGAAACAGTCCAACACACTAACGTTTCAACCAAAACTTTGGAATTTTGGGATTCCACCCAGGTTTCGTATCGGTGTATTGAAATTCCGAAATATTTCGAACGTTTCAAACGTTTCGACGACATATAGATCCTTGATTTTGACTTTGGCATCAAATTGGATATTCACTATTTTATGAAAAGATCTAAAACATGAAAAAACTTCACATTTACTGCGTAGTAGGTAAACCCATAGAAGACGAGAATAACAATCAATAAAAGCAACAAACCAGTGATAACCAGAAATAGAAATAACACAAAAATAGCCCCACACATCAGAATGAATAACAATAAAAAAAACAGTGCTTTTATTATTGGTACTAGGATAAGATGAACGTTTATTCTTTAATAAAAAATTGTCTACTACACTGCTTTACTAGACTAGGAAAAAGATGTTCTAAAACACCATATGAGGGATGTCCCAAATGTCTGCGCCTCTGTTGTAAGAACTGGAGGGTTGAAACACCATCTGTCTGGAGAGCTTTACCGGTAGGCCAAGAAGAAGGTTCAACATCCAAGAGGTATAGACCACCATGTGTCCTACCACTGCCAAACGTTTTTCTCAATTCTAGTTCTTGAAAGGTACAATGAGTAGGGAGAGAAGAAAGTCACCGAACAATTAAGGGTTGTGTAATACTACTAATAGACAATAAATTAGTAGAAAAATTGGGAACATGAAGAGTATAAGAAAGAGATAAAAAAGGTGAGCAATTAATTGAACCTTCCTAAAAATAGAGGATAAGGATCAATCAGCCACCTTAACTTTGTCCATACTAGAACACGTAGAATACAGAGAGAAAAGGCTAGAAAAACCTTTCATGCGATCTGTATTATCCAAGGAGAACATGAAGATGTAGTAAATGCACCGGAAAATATACCAGTATGGACAAAATTGGAAGAAGAGGCAGGGGTAGAAGATGCGGTATATGAAACATAAGTCGAACTATCAGACGCCTAAGAGTCTGCATCTTATCTCATCTTGAGAGAAATTATAGAGAGTAGACTGAGATGAAAAATATGAAGAGTTAGTCATGGGTGCATGGGATCACACATTACCCCATTGGTCGTGTGTAGGAAATCCAGTCGGCTTCCACCAGAACTCTCTAGTATGCCTGATCTTCCCACAATAATCACATTTTAAGATATCCTTAGGAACAGTGTCCCTCGTCTCAATAGACTTGGGCAAGACTGAACCTAAGTCATCCTGAGGGATAATAACTAAAGCAGGCTATGCCTGAGGAGCATAAATCACAATAATTCTCTAACTCTCCTCCAGCTAAACATAGGCATAAGCCACCCGTAAAGTGGGAAATGAAGCACGACCCAAAATCTAAACTTGAATTTGATTATACTCAATATTGAAACTAGCAAGAAAGTCATAGACTCATTTTTTCTCGACCATCTACTGAAATTTGACTGCATCATTGATACAATCTACCAGAAAACTCTGATAGTAGTCGAGCTCCTGTCATCAAGTGATCAACTCTGCATAATAAACTACAAGTGTCTTATCCTTCTAATTAGTATCCCGGACTCTCTTTCGCAGATTATATGTCTTAGCATCATTGCCCCATTGAGAATACGTATGGGACGCTATAGTCCAAATCTTATGTATCGTATCAAGCAGCAGAAAACAATGACTGATACATGGTTGCATTGAGTTGAGCAACCAAGATAAAATCAAACAATGTTCAAATGTCCACTACTCT